ATCATGGCTGTAGCCACTGCACTGATTCTTCAACTCGTGCTTGGCTAGTGGCGCGTTTGCTTTCAGCTAGGCTGACACGGATCTGGAAGCATATGCAATGACTGCTACTTCATGGAGAATTTGAGTCAGGCCAGCACCCATCTGTTGTGGGAACAAATGAAAAGCAAGTACAAAATCTTTTCTCAGTTTCTGTCACGCTCTGTGGTATTTTCTGCCTCCAACTGATCCTGAGAATACATGCTTTGCCTCTTTCCTCGAAACACTTCCTTTTCCCAGGTACTGAAATGCTTTTCTGTTCCTCCTCTTCCTTCACTAAAACAATTCCCAAAACCTACAATCAGGAAAGAAAAGAAAGAGTTGTAGTAGTTGGCAGGAAATGGAAGCAGCACCATAATGTTTCTAGATGTGTCAAGCATATGTTGTGTTGTGCTGGCACAGAAATGTGCAAAGGCAATGCTCAGTTTCTGAGTCTTTCAGATTTTAGGAAATACTTGAAGTGGAAATGAATGGTTCTGTGATTTGTGAACCTGAGTCCTCTGTTGGGACCTGATTCTTGTAGAAGATTTCCATGCAAGCTCCACCAAAAGAAGTCTTCCATGTCTGCTCCCTGGCATAAACCTCAAAGCTGATGTAAACACAGTCTCCACAATCTCCTTCAACCAGTCCACTTGCACTTTTAGAGTACATCATGGAGAGGAAACAAATTGGTCTCCTTTAAATTGGGGCTTCAGTGTTGGTGGCCCTAAGACATTCATAGTGCCACCAACAAATAAAATAAGGATCTTCCAACAAGTTTGTCTGCTACTTTCAGATGTCGTTTGGCTTTAGTGACTGCTCACCTTTTGGCAAACAATCAGATATTGATACTCCTTCCAAGCTGGTGTGATATTTCCACTGTGTCTGTGAAGTATGAGGTTTCTCTAGCTGCAGGAGTGTCTCTTTTACAGAAACTTGCTCACCACAGTCATGATACCAAACACATCAACATCAGAAGATAATTAGCCAATGGAGTAAGGCCAGTCATCTTTGCCATGCATAGTCAGACATCTGAATTCAAGATGTCTATGAGAATTTATATGAGAATTTCTATCCCTTGTTTCCAAAATTTTGGTCATAAAGCCCATCAATTTCTTGAAGTGGAAGCTTGATAAAGTTGTATCAAGCAGCAGAAACAAATTGAAGTTTTCCAGCATACACTCTCTTGCAGACCTTTAGCTCATTGATCTGACTTGCTGGACAAACCAGAGAGCAAATCCGACAAGAGACAACTTCACCCTTGGGATCACGCTTCTGTTGCAGTTTGCCTTCTTTGCACTTTGATTTTGCATTTGGCTATGCACTCTGATTTGAGGGTAACACTTCAATCAAAAGATTAAAGCAAGTGCTTGCCTAAGTTTTAGTAATGTCAGTAGAACTAAAGCATATGTTTTGCCAGCTAGGGAAAGAATGAAATATATTTGATTGAGACTTCTTAGCAAGAACTAAAGGGGGGGAAAAAAGCTCAAAAAATTATTTTTCTGTGCTTCTGATTATTGTCAATATTCACACAAACATTAGAAATGAACAATTGAGCAGATATTATTTTGTTTTGGTTGTTGTTCTAAAGAAAGTGCTATCACTTCTGCTTATCCCTCTTGGTGGAAGATAAAATATTTAAATTTGAAGTAATTTTATAAAGCAGCATCATCAGAGCTTAATTGTTTATTATAATGTTCATGATTGTTGTGTAAATAAGATGAGGAAGCTATTTTTGGCTTCTCCCTGCTTGTCCTCAGAAGAATTTATAAGATGTGTACACTAAGATGGTGACTGAGTGCAACTGGAACACCTGAACACCTGTGAGCTGTTTGAGGGGATAATTATCAGGAAGGGGGTCAAAGACAAGGCCTCTCACAGCGACAGGCGGAGGAGCGCTCTGCGGATTGCAGCGGCCAGCTCTGCCATAAAGTGATGAAAACCGCCTCGTCCTTTTCACCTGCATTGATCACTGAGGTGCTCTGCTGGCAGCCTTTCTATGGCTTCTGCTTGTGCTTTTTTCCTTCCTTTATTTTTCTACAGCTTAGAAAGGAGAGAATGCTCTGGGGTAGGCTCTTTGCTCTTAATCAAGACATGTAGAACATATATATATATATATATATATATATATATATATATATATATATTTTTTTTTTTTTTTTTTTTTTTTTTTTTAAACCCCAAAGTAACTGGTGCATATTACCTGTCCTGTGGTACAGGGACAACAACAAAGCTCTCTAGTTTTACTGTGAGGTCAGTGCTGCCTCTCTGCAGCTCACCTAAATGAACTGATTGCACTGAAAATGAAGCAAAAAGGGTTCTGGGGTAACAAATACAGTTAGGTGGGAGCCCTCTGCTAGGGCCAGTGTGGATGTTGGTGAAGGCCTCACTTTGCCTTTCTGCTTTCCATGTTCAGATCAGGTTTACTACAAGTGCATTGCCTACCTTGAAACAACAAAAATGCCTATGCCTGTTTTCTAGCATGAAGGAAATGCCTAAATGCTAGCAGGTGAGCTGCAGTAGAAAAGTTGCTATACAGAGGGTACAGGAACAGGTAAGTTTGAGATGAGCTTGCTCTCTGCTGTTTAGGTCATCAATTATTTAAATGCCTAATAAGAAGACAGAATGGAAAAAAAATACTTCTGAAGCTTGTTTGTATTCCACTTGTGTCAGTCCTGGGTGAAACATCTCCATGATAATTTTGTTAGCTGTAGTTCTTAACTTTATGCTCCCAGCTGAATGTGATTATAGCCTTTTAGGTCCCTCAGGGTGGCTGTGAAGTTGTATTGTTTGCTGAAGGTGTGCTAGCAGTAGGGGAGGCTGGAAGGGAAGGATGGGCCAGCATTTGTGCTTGTAGGCAAAGACAGCTATGGTTATGGTACAGATTTTGTTGAACTAGAGTTGTCAATTTGGAGTACGTGTGATGTCCTGTGGTTCTCAGGTAACAAACAGGACCAGGTGGGAGCTGTCTGCTAGAGACACTGCTGTGTGCAGCTTGCCAAAGGCTTTGACTTTCATCTTTCATTTTGTGCAGTTGATGCTGGGTGCCTGTTCCAGCTGAAGCTTGAAATCAATGCTCCAGGTTTATTTTCCTGCCTCCAAGGATGTGGGCAAACTATTTTATTAATGATATGAGAGTTGCATGCTGCATGTAGGCTGACTAATGTAGGCAATAGAGTCCAAAGGAAAGGGAGACTGAAAATGCATCACTTCCTCTTACTGTCCAAACGCTTTCTTTTTGACTCTTGAAACACTCCAGAATAGTTAAGGGAGCACAGCCCTTCTGTTTAAGAGAAGCTTTACATGAGCACAGAGCTGTGGATAAGACAGGCCTTTCCTGTAAGGGCAGGTCTGCTGCTGAGAGAAACAAGTGAGCAGTAAGGAAAGATTTTTGTGTGAAGATATTAAACTTGCAATAGTAGTGGCATATCTAATTCTCCTTCTGTCTGTTTTTTTAAGTTTACCCTTTTTGATGATAGTAGAAATACTTAGAAGGGAGGGAAAGCATCAATTATTTTCACATTATTACCTTCAATATTATTTTATCAATCTCTTTCCTGTCTTTGTTTAAAGCAGTTAACTTTCCAATAAAAAGTAAATTTTTTAGATCACATAGGGGCCACAGTATGTATTTTTGCTTCATTTTCCTTGCACACATGGGAGCAAATAGCTGTAAATATCCACTTAAACATTCATATTTAAGTTTTATTTTGAAGATAAAACATTGTTGCCAAAGTCAAATATTAAAGAATCCTTTTTTTTTTTTTTTTTCAGTATTTAAAAAATATTTTACAGAAAATTCAAGGCCTCTGTACCTGAAGTGCTCTTCTAAGTGTTCTGTTTTCAGTATTAGCTTCATAGTATTTGTCATAAGGTGATTCAGGAATTAGGTGAGCCAGGGTTGTTCTGGGCTTCACCAAGGGAAGGGACCAGACACTGAAATCTCTGTTTTCTGAGGCACACAGTCAGTAAAACGGGTAGGTTAGTCAAATACATAAATAAGTGTTGGGGTGGAGAAAGGAGGAAAAACAGGGTTCTGTTTTGACTTAAGTGGTAGTGATGGATGTGTCATTGTAAGCCTCCTGGTAACTTGGCTGAAGATTTGGCAGAGTTTCCCAGCTTACCTGTTGAAAGAAGGTGATGATAACAATGGGAAGGGTAGATCATGGAAAGTATTGTAATATGTGTATTCATCCAATCTTTAAGTCTTTATTGCCTGTCTTAAGTATCTGAACTGAAGGATAAGAAAAATTAAAAGTCTTAAATTATCTGTGAACAAAGGGCAAATGTAATTGTGGCAAAATTATAGATACAAAAACTTTCAAGTGAAATGCTAAATGCAGCTATGTTCTTGTGAACCCTTGTTCATGACAGTATGGTAATCCCAAATTTCTTCCTGAGAAAAAAAAAATCTTGCATATAGAATTCATTGGTTGGGTGGGTGAAGGGAAAGAAAAACAAGCATTTGGCATGGGTGAGTGTGTTCAGTGTCTGTCTTATCAGTCTTACCCTGTAGTAGTGGAAATAATTCAGCTCAGTGCCTTTGATTTGTGATAGGGTGTAAGAGCAAATTCATTAGTGAGGGATCCTGTTTCATTGGACTTCTCTTCTAAGGGTCAGCTATGCTCATGAGAGTAGTCACAATATTTTGAGACTGTCCCAGATAATCTACCATACCTATTTGCCCTCTGCATCTCCTTCTCCTTCACAAAACTTTTGGAGGCATAAAAGAAGGAACTGTTTTCTATACCAATTCACACCAACTTATTTAAAAGTTAGCTTGATGGAGCTCCTAGGCACTTTGCTCCCATCTTTAAAGTTCAAGGAATGTTTCAGAAAAGCTTTCATAGCTCTGATACCTGAAAGATGCTTTGTTTTTCAAGTACTCCCTTTGTTGAATTCTGAATGGGATGCCCTTCTGTGATGCACAACTGGACTGCTGTTCTTCTGATCCATATTCAAACTCTTATTTTTTTCTCTCCCAGGGTTTTTTCCCCATGGTGACCTAGGCTTGGGAAGTTGGCTACATCTGAGGCTGCTTATGCAACTGAAGTCAGCTGGTAAGAGCTCTGTTTTAGGAAGTCCTTGGTATGAACTCCAGTTTGTTTCCTTTTTAATAAGAGAATTATGTTAGCTGAAGAGCCCTCACTCTCTCCTTGCTTACTCTGCTGTAACCCCCATGCCATGAAGAGCTCACTCCAAGGAGGAATAAATCCTCCACTCTGGCCTATTCAAACCTAAGGACTGCCTTTGTGCCACAGTTTTCAGATTCCAAAGGCATTTTTGGTTAGCAGCTCTGCTGGATGCACAAAGGGTCAGCGCACTAATAGGATACTGCACTGGGAAAGGACTGGGCTTTGAGGGATTCTTTGGAGATTTGATGCTCTGTGTGAAAGAGGTCAGCAATACTGCAGCAACATTTTTAATTTATTTGTGGAAAAAAAGAAAAGGTCACCATAAAAAAGGGGAAGGACACTGGAAATAAGGGACTCTCTAAATCCTCCTATCCTGATGATCCTTACCCCAAATCCATCCATTGCTGATAAACCTAACCAATGCCTTTATAGGACTTAACAACATCGAATAAATGTCCTCCTGCCTTTCCTCACCCCCTACCAATGCACAGCAGCTCCTTATTGTGTGCACAAACTTTAGAGATGCTGGGGGATGGTGGTGTCTTCTTTACAAGGAACATTGGTCTGCACCTGCTCAGGGGCTTGCTCTCTCATGTTGATGTTCTGCATAGCAGAAAAAAAGACAGCCCTTTGCAAAGAGTGGTAGCAGCAACTTTTTGGTGGTTGCTTATGCTGTGCTAAAGATAAAGAAATTGATGACAGGTACACATGGAGACTTTGCAGCCCCCAAACATCATACAGGATTTTGGGAAATCCTCTCTTCCACTGTTGTCACACACAGTGTTCAGGTCTGTGAGACTGTTGCTGATGCCTGGGAATCGGGGAAATGCTGATCATCTGTGTTAGGGTGAATGACACTGGGGCTGTGGGAAATTAAATGAGCTATTTTGACTCTGGCTTTGTCAATGTCTGTATGACTGAAAGCTGTGAGGCACTGGAATCTGCATCCAAACATAACTTGCACATCTGCAAGAGATATCAACAGTGCTTGCATGACTTTGTACAGGAAACATGTTGGAAATGTTCTTCTCCAAATTCTTTCTTCCCAGCGTATCAAAAAGCAAAGGACAATATGAAACATCATGCTTCAGTGATGGGGAAAGGCTTTGGGGGAATATATTTCTGAGTAAATGCTTTGATTTATTTATTAATTTATTACATGAGAGTTATTTTTTATTAGGAAGTATATTTTTGGAGTTATATAAACAGTGTTGACTCCACTCCAGAGCCACCTCCTTCTGGAACCACAACTGAAGTATTGACCAGCTAACTTCCATCTTAGCATCCACACTGTTGCTCCTGTGGTTGCAGAGTGGGCTGCTCCAGAAAGCAGAGTTTCCTGCAATGGGTGGCAGGCCAGGCTGACACTGTAGCAGATAACCCCCAGCACTGAAGGAGAAAGGGGGAATTCATGAGTGGGATGAGCACCAGCATGCCACAAACTTGTCTTGGGCTGATTCAGGTCTCCACGAACCTGCAGACTCAGTCCCATGACTGTGCTGCATTTCAGGAATGCTGTGTACCATTGTAGGGCAAGTGGAATGGACTAGTTGTTCTAGCTGTGAAGCTGGAGTTGGAATAAAAGCAAATGATAATGAAGCATTGGGAAGGACATGAGACTGATTTGCTTCTGGACTTGTGAAAATACAGTATATAAATATAACACCTTCACGAGCACTGCACTTCCTACAACAGTGCTGTGACATTTTCTGAACAAAGAGATAGTGAGGATGTTGAAAAACTGGCTCTTTTCCCTTTGGAAGCCTTGATAACTTAGATGAAAACCAGAGGTAAATGCATTCATTTGTCTCCTGCCCCATTTTCTTTCATCCTTGACATACCTACTGATGCCATCCCAAATTTATTTACTGACAGTCTCCTATGGTCATGGTAAGACTCTTTCAAAATGTGAGAATGGGTGTACTGCTTCTAAGCTTTCCAAGTTCTCAGCCCCTCTGGTAATATAGCTATGGTGTTCAGCAAAATTGTATTGTTGTTGCGGCAGTCCTGAATTGAAAAAGGAGGGCTTTTCCTGTCCACATGCTCCCGTCTAAGACATGCCCTGCAGTTAACATAAAATATTTTCTTCTGTTCATATTCTCCAAACCATGCACTTTGCTCTGCTCTGCATCCATTGCCTGGTATGAATTTTTGCTCTCTGGCCTACAGCAATAACCTCCTTGTTCATTGCCACAAAATCTCAGTTTCTATTGTACTTGATAGAGATTCCACCCTGCATTTTCACCCACACTCAACAAAAAGTAACAGGCATTGTGTTCCCCGCTTCCCAGCAAAACCATGCATGCTTGGCACACTGTCAGCTTAGCAAACTCAGCTTCCATCCAGTATTGAGGGTATTGAGCTTGTACCTTCTTTTTTTGATGTAAGATGCAAATTTGGTTCAAGGAAGACTGGAGTTGGGCATACACTGCAGTAAATGCACTGGGAATAGTCCAGTTAGAAATCAGCTCAGCAAAAACAAGACTGTAAAAAGTATCTGACTTGCAGGGGAGCAGAAATGAAGCCTTTTGTGAACAAGGGCTCCATACCCCTTCATGAAGATGGCTACAGCTGGAAAATCATATGTTTCTCTTACGATAAACTGTCTTGTGCAAGTGTTTTCAGGCACTTTAAGCTCTCCTTCTGTGGGCTTGGAATGCACCCATGAGCTCTACTTGGCTCCTTTGGTTTGGCTTTGCTTTGAAGCCTAGGCCCTTTATGAGTTCAGACCGTCTGCCTTGAGGTTCAGATTCTTGAAGGCAATGAAGTGCTGGGTGCATGGCCTATTTGCTGGTGGTGCTAAAATGAGCTATGACTCATGCTAATCATGCAGACTTTCTTAATCCATCCCTCCCCAGTCTTTCTTGCGTGTTCTGCTGAGCCGTGGGTTAACAATAGTGACATTTAAAGTTCTAGCATCTGAGTGAATCATCTTGAGATGAGGACAGCAGTCCACAGCTCACAGAGGTTTGGTTTCTGAGTGCATCCCAGACACAGCTGGATGTGCTGATACATGCCATACAAACATTGGGCACCATCACTAGCACCAGAACCACAAATCTGTGGGATTTATGTCGCCACAGGGCTCAGCACTGCCATGATTTCACTTCCTTAAATCGCAAGACTCCCTCCTTTCTCCTGTGAGCCAGGAAGGTGTTGTCCTTATTCTGGTGGTGAAGAACTGGGAGGGCTAATGGCTGGTGATCTCCCTGCTGAGGAGAGGTGTTCCACTCAAAACTGTCCATCAGGGAGGCTGCTGATCCTGGAAGAGTGAGCGAGTTGGTTGGTAGGGTGCTGTACCCTTGGGGAGTGTCAGTCCCAGTCATACCTCGTGCTCCTGCTCTACAGTGAGAAGTCCTATAAAAACAGGTTATGCCTCACTGCCAGGTGAGGTCCCAGGGGTGTTCTTTCAGGGAAAGAGTCTCTCCATGCAGCAGACATCTTTATTCACTGTATAATATCTTCACCTTTTTCTGACAATTACAGGCATCAGCCCCTCTTCTGGGGAGCCATAGTGGCAAGAGATTGCTGGATTTTTATTCTGTTTCAGTTTTTCAGTGTTGAAGAAGGCAATGGAAGATGTCCTGGAGAAAACTTCCACTAAATTTAGGGTTTTCCTTGTGTTTTATGGTTGATGGTAGTTTTTATTGTTATTGTTTTTTTTTTTTTTTTTTTTTTTTTTTTTACTTGTTAAGGATCCAATAGTTAAGACAGATGGCCAATCCAAGCAATATTTTTCCATTAAAACACTGTCACAGTTAAGACTGAGAGCCAATTCTGTAAAACTACCCCAACAGGGAGAAGGGGACAGAAGGCATCTTTCTGTGGTAGATATATATCCTTGGGGCCTTTGGACAACTTTGGTCACTCTTACTGCATCCTGTTGTCGAAACAGAGGTGTAGGGCATATGCTGCCTGGGGCCCTGCCAATGGGGTGATACATAGCCTCTCCTCTCAAGTTGTATTTCTTGGGAAGCAGCAGGACTGAAATTTGTGGAGAAGCTCTACATGTTTAGAGGGGGAAAGGGAAATAAAAAATCCCACCCAAATGCACTGACAGGGTTTGTTCTTTAAATATCTTGTGTTTATGCTAGAACTGTTACCACAAAGCAAGCAACATGTTTTGTCTACAGACTGACCCATGCACTGAGTTTAGTATTAGCTGCCTTTCATTCCTTTTAGATAATCTGTTACTGCTATTAATAGAAACTTATGCAGGCTTCCTGGTGTCCAAAATTGCCTGGACATAACAAGAAGTTTTGCCTTTCTGTGCGAAGCTTTTTGACTGTGTATTTTTGGCTGATGTATTGGAAACATCAGAGCAGAGTCCCTTGCAGAGGTTGAAGGCTTGCTCTGTTGGATGGAGCTGCTGGAAAACTCCAAGGAGAGAAGCTCTCTCCTTTCAGGTCTTCCTGAAACAGGACACTGATGAGCTCCTTGCTGTCCCCAAACCTTGCCTTGCTTCGTAGCTGCTCTTGCCCCAGTCCTGGCTATATTACCTTGGTTAGCTGAAGCATTTCTAACCATGGCATTTCTCAACCTGGCCTGTATGAACACAGCTGGCCGAGAGGCTGATTGCCTGTGGAGCTGCTCTGTCAGATATGAGCCAGGGTAAATTTTGATAGGAAGGTAGTTACATGTTCGGGGAGAACCTGGGGGGAGTGGAGTATTCACGACTCACTTTTTAGCCTGCATCAGCTGCAGCCAGCACAGCATGTCAAACTGCAGCCAGAGCAGCTTGGCAGTGCTTACAAACTCTGCTAGTGAGGCTGACCACTAATAGAGCTTATAAAGTCAGTCAGATTTTTGGCAAGCTTTTAGACCACTGTGTTCCTGATGGAGCTTTTTAACATCTCCTAAAAAAGTATCCAGCATTATCAGAAAGAGCCCTGTTCTCTAGAGCTGGGCCAGGACCCATGAATGAA